CTGGTGAGGATACATGGATCCACTATACCTAGAAATCTGTGCTCGCATCTGCTCCTTTCTGATTAGTTTAGCAGAACTCTTCCTCCATTTTTATTCTTTAAATGACATCTTGCTGTTAGCTTTAGAATGGCAAACTGCACGTTGAGCAATCTTTTCATACCAAGAGCCTGTTCATACCATGCAGTTGTAAAGCTATGATTCCACTACATCTGCTATGGTTCCATCCATAGTAGGACTGAACCATATGGAATACTGAGACTTGAAGTTCAGGAGGGGCGTTTAGAACTTAGTCAGAGAGCTCTAGTGCCTCTCCAGATTCCAAACTCCAGAATGCCATAGGATAGTGGTTCACAACCTGTGGATCCCCAGATATTTTGGCCTTCAACTCCCAGAAATCCTAACAGCTGGTAAACTGGCTGCGATTTCTGAGAGTTGTAGGTCAAAACACCCAGGGACCCACAGACTGAGAACCACTGCCATATAATGTTGCCATGCCCTTTAATATAGAACGATAATTTTGTATTTCTATTGTGTAAAAGGACTTCAGAAATGCAAACCAGGTTCAAACTAGTTGGTTCAATCAAATCACAATCAGCATATGGTCTCAGATGCTAGCTTGTTAATGGCATTCAATTGTATTTTATTCACTTCAGATATAAATTTAGACACTGAAACATTAAGATTTTCCATCTTCTCTCTTTGTGCCCAAAGAAGCTGACCAAGGGGAGAAGATTCACTGTGGTTCCTCATAATGTTAGGTTGCAATTTAGTGTTGTTTCCAAACCTGACCATATGATACACTGCAATGGAAATCTTGGGGGAAATTAAGAAGCTGCTTTCAGTGTAACACTTAACTCACAATTTTGCCTCTGAAAATGCATTGGTTGCCTAGATTCTTTTAATTTAAAAATATATAAAAAATAGGTTATTCTTATATAAAGGATAAAGGGACCAGGGAGCATAAGCAGAAGATTATATTAATCAATCCTCCACATTCACTAGGTTTGGGAGCACAGGACCCCCCAAAAGTGGGGAAAGGCACACAAAACCTTTTTTTAATCTGAGAAAACCTCTCTTTAGGAATGTCTGTGTATTCCAAATCAACTATGGTCAACTTCCAGCAGGAGTGTTCAGAGCATTTTAATGAAATCCATGTACAGACTGCTTCCAAGTTAAGAACGAGTTAGGTTCGGTAGGTTTGTTAAGTTGAATTTATTGTCGAAGGCTTTCATGGCCGGAATCACAGGGTTGTTGTAGGTTTTTTTCGGGCTATATGGCCATGTTCTAGAGGCATTCTCTCCTAACGTTAGATGCAGGTGAGACATCAGGAGAGAATGCCTCTAGAACATGGCCATATAGCCCAACAAAACCTACAACAACTAAGTTGAATTTGTTTGTTAGTTGGAAGAGATACATTTTAAAGTGTAACTCCAGACACACACACACACACATATATAAGCTTTGGTTATTATATAAGATAATACAATAATAATACCTTTATTTTTATACCCCACCTCCATCTCCCCAAAGAGACTCGAGATGGCTTACATTGGGACAAGCCCAATCAACAGAGTTAAAGCATAACACATTAAAATGCATAATATCAATAAAAACAACATAAAACAACATTGTAACAATATATAAAACAAGCATCAAAACCAACAACCAATAGTATAATTCAAGTCTTATTATGATTGGGCGCATAAGGATAGGGCTAGTGAGTAAAGTGCATAGGTCATATAGTATATAGGGAAATGGTGAACACCCTTGTGATGTTTGTTTTGCTGCCTGTGTGCCTGTTCAGAAGATTCCCCCCCCCCCACACACACACACACACACTTTCTGTCCCTGTGATCATTGGATTTTGACATGTTTGGCTTGTTGTGGAACATGGATTGGTGAGAAATCATCAGTGGCGTCAGTGGAGACACCTTTCCCTCATGATAACTCTTTTAGGAGTGACTTTCTCTTTCTAGGTGTAGATCCTTCTCACTACCTGTTGCCTCACTCCTGTTCTTAACTATGAGTCATTTGTAAGTCTGATGTTTGTAATTAGGGGACTGCCTGTATTGTATAATCAAATCTGCAAAAGTCAAACTTTCAAGATTCTTTCCTCTTGCATTTGAAAATAAATTCGTGTTTGTTTCTGTAGGTGGAAAACCATGAAAATTATATCAATATTTCTGTTTATATTATCTGTCAGTGTTAGGTCTTTGGAATGTAGCCATGAATAGTTAACAAAAGTAGAATGGTTAATGTATTACTTTAAGCTACTTTTGGTGGCTTTTTCTAGACCCCTGTTCCACTTCAGCAGCCTACAGAGTTGGCTAAAAGGCTATAAAGGCACAGGGTCTTTCTTTGGAGTAACATGAAGCTGTTAGGACACGGTTAAGTAGTTGTGTTACATAATAATAATACTTTGAGAAAATAGTTTTATCACTCAGTTATCACCCCAAGATTGACACTTCATTTTGTTCCATGAACTTTCTGATAAAAACACGGTAATCAAATAATGCTACATTGCTCTTATCTTTACCTGTTGGATTTGCCATTTGTTGGGATCACATTTAAATAAGGAAGTAGATAACCTAGCTAGGATTCCATTGTATTGCAGGCCATGGCAGCACATGTTGTAGAAGCACAGTTGTATCAGAGCCCAGTTAGGAGCTGTGGATCTAAGGCACCCCCAGAACAAGTACATATCTGTCCCAATGTTCTGTTTATGTGGAAGCTCCAGCCAATCGTTGCTATGCAGAGTTTTTGCCAGGCCACCACCGTTAGTTTTGTGCAACTTTTGAAGCAGGCATTTTTAACATTTCTCATATGAAAACAAGGACACAAGCAACATCAGAGTTTGCTCCAGATGACAAAGATCTTTTTTCCTCAGGTTCATTTAGTTAGTTAGTTAGGGACAAACAAGTAGAGTATAACATAAACACTATTCCTCACGAGGAAGTTTAGAAGATAACATAGGCAACGTATACAGTCTATATATTTTTAAAATTTCACAAAAAGGATATAATTTTAAAAATATGTACTCGCCCTTGTCCTCTGCTTGTATCCACCCCTTTTCCACTATTTTCCCCTAATCCCCCCCCTCCCATTGACTCCCTCCCTCCAGAAACTGTCATACATTTCCTTTGTCATACATTCTGTTTGTTGGATCGTAAGGATAGTTTGGTTCAATTTTTTATATTTTCTGTTGCCCTTTGCCTTAGCAATCAGTTTTCCCCATTTCCTTTCCCATTTCCCCCTGAGGTATTCACTGGTATATTTATTTTTCCTATCCATGATGTAATCTCGAAGCATGTAGTCTGCTAAATATTCACACCATTTTTATGTATCCCATTTTTAATGTTCTTTCCATCCCAGGGTGACCGTGGTTTGGGCCGCAGCTAACATATAATTAGTCATCTCGACCCAGTCTGTATTGCCACTTTTAATTTCTAGTTTCTGGGTATAAAACTGTTTCTTATTCTACCCTATTTTTTGCTCTAATAATTCATCTATTTCCTCCTTTATTTTTCTATAGAATTCTTGTATCTTGGGACAGTCCCACCACATATGGATAGATGTTATGGTTTCCCCACATTCATGGCAACAGCTTTTAGATGTTCTTTTTGTAATATAGGTTATTTGCTGGGGGGTGGGGATCCTATACCATTTTGTCAGTATTTTCTATTGCATTTCGTTGATCCTTAAATATTTAAGTTTTTTTTATAGAATTTACCCACAGTTCTAAGTCCTTCTGATTACAGTTTATTTCCTCTTTCCATACTTCTAACAGGGTGGATTTCAAATTATATTGGTTATCTGTTTGTTTTTTATATATATGAATCTGATAATTCCTTTCACTTTCTCAGTTTTCCATTGTAATATTTGATCTTAAACTGTTTCAGGACCTTCCTTCTTCTTCCACTCTGCAATCTTTTGCAACATTCCATGCCATAACAACCAATTGCTTGATCCACATTTGTCACTTAACTCCTCCCCATATTTTGTTGTTCCATCCAAATTGATAAGATCCCCTGTCTTTGTTATGCTATTTTTATTTAAATGTATTATCTCTTTTCCATATATCTAATCTTTTTATCTATGTATATAATAAAAGTCTGTGTTTGTATGTGTGCGGTGGGCAGTGCATATGGCAGCTTTCTTATTGGCTGCCACTTCCACAGGCCACTGCAACCTCCACAAATAACTGACCTGGACCAAACATGGCACACAGAACCTCCATGACCCACTTTACATCCTGGTGCAGTTTGGGAGAGGATGGGCCATAGATTATGAGATTTGTGGTACCTTAACTCACAGAGATCACTACAACCTGCATGAATGACAAGCCTGGACTAACCTTGGCACACAGACCCAATGTGGCCCACTTAATATGTTGGTACAGTTTGGTCGGGGGCCCAACAATGATGGGATTTGCAGTACCTTTATCCAATATACCTCCCACACACCACTGTGATGCCCATAAATGACAAAACTGGATCAAACTTGGCACACAGAACCAACCATGACCCATTTTACATCCTAGTGTGGTGTGGAGGAGGCAGGATCATGGATGATGGGATTTACAGTACCTTCACTTACTTCCAGAGACCACTGCGACCCACACCAGTGACAGATCAAGACCAAGCATGGCACACAGAGTCCCCATGACCTACTCTACGTCCTGGTTAGGACTGCGGGATGACAGACCATGGGCAATGGGACTTGCAGTACCTTCATTCACTTCCTGAGACCACTGCAACCCACAGCTTCCCAATATGTTTGCATTGTCAAATGTATTATAAATGTGCTTTGGTACATATTAGGACAATAAATGCAAACACAAAAAAACCGAAGGGAATGCAAAATCCAGAGAATCAAATCTTCACATTGATCTGGAAGGTCCAGGTCAGATTGGTTTGCTTCTAAATGTGAACCAAGTGATGTCCCTGAGTATCCTTAGCACATTGCAATAACATATTTAATTTTCTTATTTTTCTGTGCAGCCCACACACTGGGATTCAGTCATATGCAGTGGGTGTCCCAAAGATTCCCGCCGCCTGTATTTCACTGGAAGATGCTGAGTTAATAGCTCGAATGTCTTCCCGAGGCTCCAAAGTTGTTGTGACTCTGAAGATGGGAGCCAAAACCTATCCTGATGCTGATTCCTTCAATACAGTTGCAGAAATAGTTGGCAGTAAATACCCAGACCAGGTGAGTGATGCTTTCCTTGCTTCATGCTTGAGCACAAAGTGAAAACACTGTTGCAATCTCCCTTCTTTGTGTTTCCAAATGTAATACAGAATGGGGTATACAGATCTCCCATATTTCAAGGTGGCACTGTGTGTGCCATGGTGGGAATAGAGAGGTGAGGTATGTCGGATTCAATAGCTTAGGCTCTCAATTCCCATCATGAGTTGGACTGGTGAACATCAGGGCTTTGTTGTTCATCCATATTATGAGAGCGACTGTTCTGCCACAGAGAGCATTCTGCCTGAGATAATAGTGAAATTCTGGAAACGACTTCAGCAATATATTGCCACTAATAGTAATAATAATAATATTTATTTATTTATTTATTTATTTATAGACTGCCGTCTCTCCCCAAGGGGACTCAGGGCGGTTTACACGCAGAAAAAGACAAACATTCAATGCCCTAAAACAAATGCAAACACCTCAGAGATAATAGAAAAAAACACAGAATAATGACCATGAACTTATAATAAAAGCATTAGCATTGATAATAAAAAAAAACAGATTGTGAATAAACAAATAAAACAAAATGATACTGATAACATAATTAACATCAAAACAGATATCCTTAGGAAACATTTAAAATGCATAAACAAGGCTATCATAGATGTTCTTTAAAATGTACCATAGCAGTAATAGACTACAAATAAGTTAGCCATTGTTCCAGTTGAATTAGAAGTCTAATCCTCCTGCTCTCCATATGCTTAAATGCATAGGTATGTTTTCAAAAGGAAGTTCCAGAGACGGGGGGCCATCACAGAGAAGGTCCCCTCTCTCGTTCCCATCAACCATGCTTGTAATGGATGGACCCAAGAGCAGGTCCTCTTCCGCTGACTGCAGATGCGGTTGGACAAATGATGGCCACCATTTGTCTGATAAGATTTTTTAAAACCCATTCAAACAAAACCATTTTTATGTACTTTTCTGAAATATATACAATTTTCATCTAAATAGCTTTATTCATTGTTATACCCCTTCAAAATGTGTGAGTTCATTATATCCCAACCTGTATAACAGTAATCCTCTTTTATTTACTGAGACCAAACTTGGAAGTAACATGTTAAAGAGTAACATATTGTTTCTCTTCTTGTTTTCTTTCATAATGAACTGTAATAATGTTACTTTTACCTAACCTAATACCTGATAACATTGTTCGGTTTTTTGTTTTGTTTTGTTTTTGGTGTGTGTGAAATGGGCCATAGCCACTTCTGACTCAGAAACATTTTAGCAGGGACATTTTGGGTATTTTAAAAACTGGCATAATATTTCTGAGTAAAAGGCCATAAATGCATTTTTATTAACCTTCCAAAGCTATGTATTGGGATCTGACTCATTGTGCAGAAAAATTGCCCAAAATATTTTCCTGAGGCTTTGTTCCCAGAAAAGCAAGTACCGGTTAACCTAGGCATGGGCAAACTTGGGCCCTTCAGGTATTTTACACTTTAACTCTCACAATTCTTAACAGCCACAGGCTTTTTCCTTTTTCCTTTTCTCCCACTTAAGGGAAAGGGCCTGAGCCTGTTAGGAATTGTGAGAGCTGAAGTCCAAAACACCTGGAGGGTCAGTTTGCCCATGCCTGGATTAACTGGCAATATACCCTAGACTACTTCTGAGAGAGGGGAAAAATCAGTTTTGTGTAGAAAGCCATGTGTTGGGAAGTAAAAGTGCAAAGGGAAATGCTACCAAACAGAAGGAAGAAAGAGGAAACAGAGCTGCATGAAACTTGAATAAGCTTATTTGTACATATATATTTGTGTTAACAAAAGATCTGTGAAATTGTGCAAATCCATGTCTCTCACCATTTCGGAGACCCTCATGATTCTCTGGAATCTTGCGTTCCCAAATGGATGTTCTGTTGCTCTTGTGCTCTGTCCAAAAACAGGCTCATGTAGGTAGTGGGTACATTGAAAGCTATATGAGGTGCAAGACCTGCTCAGATCTCCATAAAGTGCCCTACATGAAGGATTTCTTTTCCATGTCAGGAGCGATTTGAAAAACTGCAAATCACTTCTAGTGTGAGAGAATTGCCTGTCTGCAAGTACATTGCCCAGGGGACACCTGGATGTTTTTGATGTTTTACCATCCTTTTGGGAGTCTTCTCTCACATCCCCGCATGGGGAGCTGGAGCTGACAGAGGGAGCTCAACCGGCTCTCCCTGGATTTGAACTGCTGACTTGTCCTGCTGGCACAAAGGTTTAACCCACTGCACCACCGGGGCTAGTAACCTGGTTGATTTCTTGTTTCTAATGTGGAAATGAAATTTAACTAACTGACTGATTGCCTTTTGTATGTGGAATTATGTTGATGGTGGTGCCATTTTGTCCTCTGCTTCAGGCAATCAAATGTTTTTGGCTGGCCCATTAGAGTTGCCATGCCTATATGTTCCCCATATGTATATATGTATATATACATACAGTTGACTCTCTAGATCCATTGATTGTAACTATCTGCTGTTTAAAAACAAACAAACCTTGATTTTGCTGTTGTATATAAGGGGCACTCCTTTACTACACCATTGTATATAATGGTAATTGAGCATTTATGGATTTTGCAGAGCCAAGCAGATACCAAGGGTTTACTGTACATATGCAATATGTACAGTAAACCCTTGGTATCTCTCTCTCTCTGTGTGTCCTTTTACAGAAGATTTAATCCTGGAGTAATGTGGTAATTACCACAAATTCCAACACTATTTCTGTTGAAAATGTTTGGTTCACAAGTATAAGCAACGTATACAAAGTCAAAAATAATTTTTGACTGCAGCTTCTCAAACCTCAGGAAAGCATAGTTCACAAATATGATTGATTTGTACTCCTTGGCTTCTGGTAAAGTTACTTTTTCGTTCTATAGTACCTAGAAGCCAGTGCTTCTAAGTACTGGGTCTTTTTTTAAATGTTAGAGGGTTTTAGAGTGTTAGAAGTTAATATGATAACTGTCCTTTATGAACTGTGTGTAACTACTTCACTCTGTTGAATCATATTCTCAAGAAGAGAGCTAATACGTTTTCCAAATGTGTAATGCATCTAATATGCAATGAAGATATATTACAATGTATGACATGACATCATCTAATAAATAGAGACCTGCTTTATTCCCTTAGTACCCACCTGGTTCTCAGATCTGCTGAGGCTGGTGTTTTGGGGGGCCCTGTTCCCTGTTCAAGATGGATGGTTTAAGAGCTGTTAATAGATATGCCACCCACTTTGGGTTTCTCACCAAAGATTTAGAAGGCCAGGCCTGCTACTATTATATTGCTTCTGAATTTCAAGTTAGATTACTTTTCTCATAAAAACAGCTGTTTTCTGCTTCCAACATGTAGCACAGGAAGGACCATAAGTGCTGAATCTGGGCTGACTTTCCATTGCACCGAGGATTCATTTGCATCTACTAGAACATTTTCTTTAGAAAACCTTGCATGATATGAGATAACCTTTAGAAAAACTTGCATAATATGAAACTTCCAGGAAACTTAAATCCAAAACCAAGGCTTGACATGAAAGAAGAACTAGAGAACTCAGGCCTAGCTTCACACTTGAATGCAACATTGCCTGAACTAACTCTTAGGTAAACAATTTGCTAATTAATAGGCAGCCATGAAATTATGTTTTTCCTCACAAAATCTCTCCCCAATTTTCCCATGCAATCACTCTGACCTACGATGCCTATTTTCTGCTCTGATCTGTAAACAAAAACCTTTGTTGATCTCCGTGGCTCCAAGTTTTTTTCCCCCTGAGAGCTTTCTATATCACTTATCACTTCACTCGACTCCTTAACCAATGTTCCAGTTTCTGGCTCCTCTGACTGACCTTGAAGCCCTGAAGAGAGAAGCATCATTCCTCTGACTTGAATCTTCATCACTTTGAGCCCCAGGAAATCTCCCAAGCAATCTCACAACCCTCTCTAAATCAGCAGTGAACCCATCAGACTAAGGAGTCACAGACTAATCTCCAACAATTTCCACTTTCCCTAATATGTGTGTGTGTGTGTGTGTGTTGTACACATTTTTTCCTATGGTTATTTAGAATGGTTATTTAGAAATGGCCACATCAAAATTATGTGTAGGATTTCATGCAGACGAAACAAACCCCAAGCCCTGTAAATGCATAAATATCTGAGATAAGATATACTTCATCTTGCAATGAGACTTTTTGGAAAGTGCAAAATGGATTATGTCACTGAAAATCTGGAAGACCCTGAAATTCTATTCCATCCCTTCATAAAGGCTGGAAAATCAGAACTATTCCATTCAAAATGAGCTGAAATAAAATCCTCAAGCAAAACTTTTCAGCATATAACAGGTTACACATATTTAAACTCCTAAAGGGATGTCATGAAGAAATTGAAACAAGCTTGTTTTCTGCTGCCGTAGAAACTAAAATACAAACCATTGGATTCAGATTACAAGAAAAGGGAGTACAGCTAAACATTGGGAATAATGTCTTGACTGTCAGATCTGTTTGACAAGGAAATCGACTTCCCCAGGGTTGTGTGGGAGGTGCACATGGACTTTCCTTCTCTGGGGAATCTTCTAACAGAGTTGGATAGATATCTTTCAGTAGTGCTTTACCTGTGTATTCAAGCTTGGTGGGGTGGTGGTGGCATCACCTAGATCACCTTTATCATTTCTCCCACCTCTGTGATTCTAGTTGATACTAAAAGCAAGGTTCACACATCTTCCATCCAATATATTTACATCAATACACATTGCATTGATCCCTTTTCTCATTGTAAACCATTGTGTCAAAAAGTACTATTCCAAATTCCAATTGATATATTGCATGCTTCAGATGTGGCACATGTGTCAGATTGTGAAAACTGATTTTGTTAATTTTTCATGGAGGAAGGGTGCATTCTTATTTGTAAAACAACTTAAAACATCATTTAAAATATTTTAAGAAAAAAAGGAGCTTCCCAAAACCCTCAAACAGAAATGTTGAAAGCCCTTCAAAGAGTTGAATCTC